ACAACTGATGTTAATTATGTCATGTGAGACCTTAATATTAGACCAACTTCTTTATTTTGTCATACTTTGCCATAAAAAATATAATATTACAGACACCTGTATGCCGGTATTAGACATTAAATTAGCTAATTCCTTTTTTTCCTGTCTTCATAGATTTGATGAAAAGGAAAATGTTTCAAACTGTATTCAACTGAAGACATCTGTTATTAAGGGTATAAAGAATCAGCTGTTAGATCAGTTTCCCAACATCGATGATTGGCTCAACCAGATAATGCCCAAAAAGGACCCTGTCAAAATTGTGAGATGGTAAGAGTTGCACTATATATAAAATCAGTGCTTACTCATATGCAGTACTAAAAGAGTAACTAATTTTACATCAGAGGTGTGATATTTTATGTTTCCAGTCATGAGCATATTGAAATTCTTACGGTAAATGGAGAGCTACTCTTCTTCAGACAGAGAGAGGGACCCTTTTATCCCACCCTCAGACTTCTACACAAATGTAAGACCGCTTTCATTTTCATCAGTAGCAGTAAGATGTTTCTCTGCAGAAAAGATTGCCAGGTGCCAGAAGGGTACTTATATTACTAAGTTAGACTTACTATTCCTTTGGTCAGACTAATGGCTGGTACTTGCGTGTCTGTTCTTCAGATCCCTTCATTCTGCCACACCAACAAGTAGATAAAGGAGCCATCAAATTTGTTCTGAGTGGAGCCAATATCATGTGCCCAGGCCTCACATCACCAGGAGCCAAACTCTTCCCTGCTGCAACAGACACAGTAGTCGTATCTTTCCAACTGTTGTATTATATTCTATTTTCTAAAATATTTTTCTCCACTTGATGAATTAATCCTATTGATTCATTGTAAAGGAATAGTTCACTAAAAAAATAAGAAATAGTTTACTTATTTTGTCAATTCCAAAAAGGACATAAAAAACACCATTCATCTGAGATTAAAAAATGTAATTATTATCAGTGTTATTTATTAATATTATTTGTATATGATTATAGAGTTTATTCATATTTTACATTTATATTTAACTTTAATTTATTTCGATTTTTATCTCAGTTGGGGGGGACCTGCCTAGGGCAGTCGTGGCCTAATGGTTAGAGAGTCGGCCTTGTAATCCAAAGGTTGTGGGTTCGAGTCTCAGGTCTGGCAGGAATTGTAGGTGGGGGAGTGAAAAACCAGCACTCTCTTCCACCCTCAATACCACGACTGAGGTAAGACCCTTGAGCAGGGCACTGAACCCCCAACTGCTCCCCGGACGCTGCAGCAATATGGCTGCCTACTGCTCGGGGTGTGTGTTCACAGTGTGTGTGTTCACTACTGTGTGTGTGCACTTGGATGGGTTAAATGCAGAGCACAAATTCCGAGTATGGGTCACATGTCACTTCACTTCACTCACTCACTCAGTTTTAGTTTTAGCAATTTTAGTGTTCCAACTTAATTTATTTCAGGTAGTTGCCAAAGCAATTGACTGGTGTGTGTTGATTATCACAAGTTGTTGTCCTTAAGTATCTGTTTTTTAGGCCATAATGGCAGAAGGGAAGCAGCACGCGCTTTGTGTGGGAGTCATGAAGATGTCTGCAGATGACATGTAAGTGTTTTTATGCATCTCCTGCACTCTGAATCCCATTTGGTTTATAAATGCGAAAAACACACACAGTGGAATTTTTAGTTGCTCTAGAACAGGGGTGCCCAATCTCGGTCCTGGAGGGCCGGTGTCCTGAAGAGTTTAGCTCCAACCCCAATTAAACACACCTGAACCAGCTAATCAAGCTCTTACTAAGCATACTAAATTAAAGGCAGGTGTGTTCAGGCAAGTTGGAGCTAAACTCTGCAGGACACCGGTCCTCCAGGACCGAGCTTGGGCACCCCTGCTCTAGAGTCTATAGTCTCGATTGTGGTGTAAATACATCATGTATAAAAATTATTTTAGTTAACACAGAGGAAATAATGAATGAAATCAATATAAATAAGTCTGCATCAATCTGTGACTACAGTTTATTGGTTATTGAAAACTAAAATATAGATATAAAAAAAAAAGTACAGTGCATGCATTTCATTTGAAAATATTTTCTTGTCTCACATCACTGAACAGAGAGAAAGTAAACAAGGGAATTGGAATCGAGAACGTTCACTATCTGAATGATGGACTGTGGCACATGAAGACGTATAAGTAATGACAGACGAGAGGATGTGCTGGAATTGTTTGGACCCCTTGTCACCAGGCTGCCCATCTACTGTTTACATGAATGGACTCAACTGTGTACCATCCCGAAAGCTTTGAAAGCGAACCTATTTTAATGCACAAATAAAACCTGCATTCAAGTAATCCAAAACTGAAATGGTCTGTTGCTACAGTGAGAGCTGAATTGTGTCATGGCAGCTTAAAGCCTGTTTAAACAAGAGTATAATTCTCAGTTTTCCAAGACAGAGAGCATTTGGTATTTGTTTAGATGAAATTACTTACCAAAGATGAGTTATACAACGCATGCCATTATATATCATATGCAGTTCTAGACCTTATGGTTTTATCGTTTTGAATTGACTTTTTGTTTGCACTAAAAGCAGGAAACGTACATCTATGACAATGAATCTCAAAAGAATCCCATAAGGGCTTGTTGTTTCTTTTGCAAGCTTACAAATGTCTCTGTTGCTCTACATCCACATCATATTTATTTATGGAAATATAAACCACAAAAGCGAAATGTTCATGTCCCAATAAATAAAGGGAAATTTACTCCACAGTAGGAGGGATTTGACTACCGTTACAGAAAGTGAATCCAACCAGCTTGTGAAAGACAAACTCATCTCAGCACATAAGGAAAATCACATTCATTTTAAGGTAACTGTAATATAGTGAAAACCAAAGTGAGGTACGGTGCATTCAAATTGATCAGAATGTGTATTCTCTGGGAATCCAAACCAATAGTACAGGGTCTAAGTCTACACTTATTTGATCCTCTTATCATTTTCGTAGTTTATTTCTGATGCCACAGTTTTTAGTCAAGTCAGGCTAGAAATGACCATGAATATATAATGGATTTATTTTGCATTCATAAAGAGAAACGTATTTTTTCAGGCTTTGGAAGTAAGAACAGCTGCAGCAGAATATGTTATCATTCAAGCAGAAACTGAGCATGAGATCAAATGTCCAGAAGCAGGAAAACTCAACTACACCATAGACAGTGATGTCAGAGGTATCACAGAGGTGTATGATAATAATTGATCAAATATCAACTGATATATATATATATATATATATATATATATATATATATATATATTTTTTTTATATCTCTATA